TCCCTGCAGTGGTATAAATATCAATATATTGCCTAATGGAAATGTTTCCCCTCAAACCACAAGTTAAAAGTATAATGAGACATTGTCACAGTATTCTCAGCTTAGTTGTAATTGAAGAGTAGATCAGATGTTTTTTTTTCTTCTGATTTATCAAAAAACAAGATTTGTTTGAAACACATGTAAACGAAAACATTGTATTTACTGTATACAGGATTCGATCATTTAAATATGATGTTATTTTGACCATAGATACACATTTATTAAGTATGCGTTACTAACAGAAAAATGTAGTATCTCCATTTCATTTGATATTGAAAAAATGCTATGATGTCTACATCACATTGTGCATGTACTTGCATACAGCAAAAATTGATTCAGCTCAACAGTTCAACAAAAGTAGCATGCAAAATGTTTTGTTTAGTGGTTTCCTGAACAATAATTGGGAGCTTATCAAAGGGATAAGTAGGCAGGTATAAAATTTATATAAGGATCTGTTATTGAATGAGTGGCAAGTGTTTATCAACACCAGGCGACAACTTAAGAGTGATTTCTTGCATGTATAGTACAGTAATCAACTGTGTTTATAATAATTATGATATATCTGACATTTTTCGAGTCAGTGAGTGTTATGTCTAGACGATACATTATTTGGCTTATTTAAATAAAAATAAAACTGGTGTCCTTTTTGCAACCCTTTCAAATCAGGGGCTCACCAATAGAAGTACACATACAGAAATAAATAAATTAAGAGCAGCAAAGCACATATATGAAATAATTACATCAGAAATTTTAAAATTATACATTTTCTTAGTTACTTGGTCAACTGTATCAATGAGGAATTGGTATCACTATCAAACTGCACTGATATTGGCTGTAAATAACAGAGGTGTATTTGTGGTTAAAGTAAGTCCTATTTTAATTGATCTAGCATATAATTTTGAGTTTATTGGAAGTGTGCTTGTTGTCAGGCTGTAAGCTCCAGTCATAGTTTTTAAGACCTAATCTTTTTGGTCCACAAGTTTCAGTAAGTCTACTTTTTGCACTTGTGCATGCATGCCTAATAAAATAGGGAAGATTTCTGTATTCTTTTGAGTGACAACATGGCTGTTATTTTTGTATGGTATCCTGTTATTAAACAGGAATGATGCACCATACACATAAATCATTCAAAAAGTTTATTGACCATTTCAAGTTGTTAAATTGTTTTTTTTAATTTTTTTTTGTTTGTTTTTTAATTTGGTTTGAAGATCAGTTTGTACAATACTTCTGATTATTGAATTATATATTTGAACTATTTCATGTGGGTATTCACACCAAAATATTATCTGACAGGTTTTGATTGATTCTGAACTTAACAATGTATATAAAAAATAAATAATAGCTTGTTCATTATTTGTATACATTATACCATATTTAATCAGAAATAAGGATATTAATAAAAAATTCAAAACATCGACTTTGAGTGTACTTTCAATAAAACCAAATATATTCAAATTATCATTGTCGCCTACACTGTTATATTACATGTGCACGCCTGGTCACTCACCTTGGGAAGCATGTAGTAAAGCCATGATGACACAAATACTGTAATACAAATATTATCAGTATCCACTTGGATCACATGTGATAACACTTTGAACTCCCAGTCACGGGACTCTGTGGAGGTGGTGGTGGTGGTGGTGAATAACAAACAAACAAACAAACATGCTGTCCGACCCTTTGACCCAGTTTTGACCACGTTCAACGATATATTAATATTAAAAGTACGTGTTCAGGACGTACAGCACGTCTTTTGTAGATATAATAAAGAAAGATG